AAAATCCCTTCCTAAAGGCTGCGTTTCGTCATCTGCTAAAAATAACAAGGCGCGTTGAGAGCATAAATTAATGGCTCACTAGAAAGTGTTTCTCAATTGAAAAGTCCTTGGTTTGACGTACACCATCCATCAACAGTTAGATCTCCTATCGTAGTTACGTCTCGTGCGGAAAGCCCTCTTGCCTTTATAGGTATGTTGATATCGCGTCTACTTACATATACAATAACTAAACTGTTCGTAAAATATAAATGTCGGAACGTAGATTGGGCGAAAATAGCTGTTAGACCATTTACAGGGAAGCACGACAATTTTGACGGTTGACGGTTAAATTTTGGGTTAAATTTTAGCCCAAGATTTTAAGTTTAAGTAAATGTTAACTTCTGTATAAATTAATATTAACTGTTCTGTTTTGGGGGTTGTATTGGCGCCTTTCACTTGGGTTAAAATTTCAAAATATTTTCGGATATAAGCAAGTTATAAGGTCTTGTAATGTCCAGAGAGAGCTTTTTGCAGAATGTGGGAACCGGTTTTTCCAGATTAGAGATTCTTCAGGAGCCAGAATTCAGTCCGTGAAGATCAGCTGAAATAGTGAGATTTGAAATACCTTGTCATGAAACTTTTTTATGCGGTTAACATTAATCTGCATTTTTCAAGGTTGAAGGTAGCCTGAATTTCATCCGATTACTTCGAGTCGTTATTACTCCCTCAGTAAGAGGAGAAAACGACTCGAAGCAATCGGATGAATTTCAGGCTAGGTTGAAGGGAAAAACTCACCTTTTTCGACGGCTGACGGTTTAGCCCATTGAGACCTTCAAGCACGCCTCACGGAAGGTATCAATTAAAAACTCTCTGTTTCACTTGGAGTATTTAAAACTTTCGCGTCGATAGTGCGTTACAATATTTTTCACAATGTCGAAATATTGTATGCAATATATCGATCATGCCAATGCAAGCATTTTTGAATGAATATTTCAAGTATTATAACTTCATTGAGTATTAAATTATCGTATTGTGACCCGAAGGGATACAGATATAGAAACTTACCGCGAAACAGACACTGACGGGTTCAAATTCTTTCTTACTGTTGTGTCGACTGATAAGGATTTCAAACAGTATACATGCACTTCCTCGTCACTTTCCGCCTCGATTTCGCACAAAAACACATTCAAGTGGATTGATGAAGATATTATACGAAGGTCCAGCACTTTTTCTTCGGAATCAGAAAAAGCTAATGTGGACTGTATAACAAGCAACTGTGTAAGCAAAGAATCTTCATTTTCCGGATCAGCTGATATACAAGTATTTCACTCAGTCGAGGCTAAGTCGTATATTCACGTCACCTAGGTACTTAATGAAGTCACTAAAAAACCAAGTTATGGTTAGAAACACGTTTGAGGTTTTGCATTTTGGAGGAAATTGACTTATAACAACCTCTATCAGGGGCACCCAACGAGAATGTAGTTCAAAACCACTTAAACATTGCATTGTTAAACGTATTTTAGTATTTAAACGGTAGATATGGGCAAATTTTTATCCCCTAAAAATTTATCATCTGTTCGGATTTCCTAGCTGAAAGTCTAGTGATGCGAAAACTATAGGGATCAAAACTTACCTTTTCGAAAATTTTAGCCAGAAAAAAGGCTTCCGAACATTCTAGGTGACCTTTTTAGGGTAAAAATCCGTTTAAAATGGGCAATTATACCATTTTTTTGACGTTCGAAAATCCTAGGAGCGGCGGGCAAGCAAGAACTGATTTTGCAACAATTTTTCCGAAAATTCTAGATCTCAAATCGTCTTCCGAACGGATATTTTCCTAAAATTGACGTTGGGTGCCCCTGCTCTATGAATATAGCAAAACTACTATGCTTACAGTGCACATGAACGACATGCAAAACGTGAAGTTTATGCGATTTCTTTCGGAATTCAATCAAACAAAACAGTTTGAGATTGATGACAGACTTTGTCCTTAGCTGTGTGTTTATTGCCAGAGGGAAGTTTGTTGTGCCTCCATGTATACGTGAATTTGACGTTGTACGCCCAAATTCGAAGATTACGTTTTAGGTGGAATGCCTTATGTACGTTCTTAAATGTCTGGAATTGCATGTCTTAAGGTCACGTGCTGTTATTTTTCATGTTTTAATAACTACTAGGATTATTTTGTGTTGCATTGGTCGTGTGTGCTTTTAAATATTCACTCATTGTCGTTAATCATATGTCAAAAGGAAACGGGGATTCCCCTGGTCCTGGTGTTCTACGTCACTAAACGCATATTTACTTAGTTAATAAGGGTGACTTTTTAAGGCTCAAAAAAACTAAAAATATCCAACAGGCAAAGGCCACGGCTATACTCTTTTATTATATAGACACGAGTGTTTCACTGGAAAATATACCACTCGTAAAATTCATAAAAACTACATCCGGGACCCGAATGGTTTATTTTCCAAAATCTCACACGTTAGTTTATCGATGACGTAATTTCGGTAATTTCCCTCTATTATTTTATCGATGTCTTTTTGTCTATATAATAAAAAGAACATTATACGGCGGCTTGAAGAAATGAATTTTATTTTCTCGTGGCATTAAAACAATATTTTACTCACTCCCTGCGCTCGTTCGTAAAATATTGTTTTGCCACTCGAAAATAAAATTCATATCTTCCCGGCACCGTGTAATATCCTCTATATATGCTGCAAATGAATCCACCCTTATATTTCTCACTAAAACGTACGTACACGCGTTAAACTTCCCTATCGGTATTAATCCGCTAACGTTCTGATCACTCGATCTGCGCGCCTGACTGTGATGTCGCGCTTGCCCCTCGATTTGCCTAAATCTCAGCTATCATGTAATCTATACAAAACAATATTGATTGAGATCGTTGAAGAGGGAAGGGCAAAATATACCACTAATAAAAAAAAGTTTCCAAACAAAACTTTGAAAACTGGAGCCATTTGTATAAACTGGCTTTTCTTCGGACGTTACTGCTTTCTTGTGACGTCATGCCCAGAACGCTTAATAGCTTTACGCTAGATGTAGCCTGTTACATCTTACGATAATGTTTTATGCCATTGGCCCTTTGTTTGATAAGATATATGATCCAGAAAATTGCATGGGATAATGGGTGAAATAAAAGTGGCTAGATGAAATTTTCTTCTTTTTTTCCCTACCGTTTAATCGTGCAGGATTAAATTAACTGCAAAAACCGTGGACGAAGATTGAGCTAGTTGTAAACGTTGGATCTCTAGAAAAGAGCAAAGATGGCCGCCGTATTGGATTTATTGAAAATCAGACTTACCAAGTAGAGATATGGAACATTTTTAAGCCTTTAAAGCAATGAAACAAAGAAACTACTTTACCTACACAGATTTATCGTAATTATTTTTGCTGTTGCTGTTACCTTTTTTAATCTAAATGTCATCAGAGCACCGACAGCAAGCAACAGATTTCTTAAACGTTAAAAGCATTCCTCTAAAATGACTACTAATCAGCCGCACGAAACCCGGTAGAAGATCTGTTGGGTTTTACCCAATTTTTGTATTAGAAAAGCCTCCAATGTAAATTAAGCCCGAAGCGGACGCAACGTTCACCGTGAAAAAACATTGCGTCCAATTTCAAGCAAAAGAAAAGGCTTCAACAGGCAGGAGAACGACGGGAAAACAACTTAATTATTGATAAGGTTATTTTATTCACAATTGATATAAAAAGTCCCGTCTCTAAAAGCATGAAACTATGTACATAGGAAGTTGTAAATCAGACCGCTTCTGGATTAGTCTGTTATGTTAGAAACTTAAAATGCGTAGTTCCAGAAAACATCTATACTTTCTACCCCCACGGAGGGAACTTTTGCTTTAGACCCACCCCCTGGAAAGAATAGTTACGTCAAAAATGCTGTTGTGCTATACTATTGTGCGAAAGATAATTGTTTCTGCGATAAAGAGCTAGAAAAAATCATTTTATTCATGTTAACACAGTGTCTAATAACCTCAATTTTGCCTTGTAAAGGTCTTTCTTGGTTAATAATTAACGGCAAGTCACTGAGAAACATGGAGGTTGATACCTTACACGACACAGATGATGCCATCTGTAATTAAACATCGAGTGGACTTCAATTGCTTCGTTTCAGTTAAAAACATGCATATGTCAGAAGAAGGCTTAGAACGCAAGCACATTACGGTGAACACCACAATACCGTTACCGCTATATAACCAGACGTTTACATTTATTTATGATTCGATGGCAACTATCTATCGCGTAAGCCGTGAAAGAAAAGAAAAGAAATTCAGCCGACCGTTAATAAAATTTCATCGATAACAACTTACAATAATTCCTGTTTTAAAAGGCCGTTTACGGTAAAATAACTGATTGCTTGCTAAACAGAGCGGCTGTCAGTTTTTGATAACCCACCAGTCTTAATCGGAGCCCCCGGAAAAAGACCTCGAGAAGCAACCTCTTTCCCAGGTTCTCTGTCCTACCCGTCAACGAGGTTGCTCGAGAAGCCACTCCCAACCCCTGGGAAGTTGCGTCATTTTGGACCCCCCGCCCCTCGGAATTTTCGTTGCCCTCCTTTGGAGGGGGAGAGGTATGGATATTTTCTGGAACTACACATTGCTGAAATTAGTATACATGTAAACGGAACGGACAAGCCTCTGAGTCACTGTATTTACATGCTTTTTACGTAGAGTCGTCATTTACACGAGTTTATTGAAACCTTTGAGCGAACTCTTTGATTTCGTTCTAAAACGTAAACAAATGTAAATTCGCACAGTAAGTTTTTAAATCGGCTCAATCTCTCAGATTCTTGACTTCAATATTTGGTTAATGCATGGAGTTATATTTTTATTCTTCATGATGGACTGACAGTGAAAACGACCAGCAATTGCAACCGGTATAGTTTTTTTATCCCTTTTTCTACGTTTCGAAGCAATTAACCGCAGAGATGAATCTATTTTGTCAGCTTGCCTGAACTGCATGCTTCTTCAGGGATCACCGCAGGAAATCGGTTAAGTAAGTTTGATCTCAGAGACAATGTCAGGACGTGCTATTTCAGGACTCCGTAAAACTTCCACGAGGTCTGATACATTTCTATTCTGCGTTTTTCCAAGCATTTCGAACAGCTTACTGGTGGGGCTTCCATTGTCCCTTTTGTATTCGATCTTTAAGTATCGAAGATCGTCTTTGTCTATGTGAAACGCTTCGCCTACTTTTTGCCAGCCATAGAACCGTTGACCCGGGCAGCGTACATCCAATTTCTTTATTAAGAATTCTTCAAAATGAAAAGGTAGATCAGCCAGGTTGAGATCTGAAAGATTGAAAAGTTAAGCGTCGATATCAGGACGAGTCAAAATGGCTCATTAGTATTTAATGATAAAAATACAGTACGATACAATTAAATACTTTATATAACGTTGAAACGGACTCTAGGGCCCCGTCCACGCGTATCCGGGTATTTTTTAATCCGCAACTTTTTCTTTACGGATTAAACAATTTCGACGTTCACACGTATCCGGATTCAAATCGAATTTGCCCGTCCACACGTATCCGACACGTATCCGGATTCACTCTAGTACCCGGGACTTCTCTGGGAATATTGTCAACAGAGCATGCGTCGTTTTGCGCGCGAAATGTGCATCTCGCCTTTGCCTTGAAAGAAACTGGGAACGAAGTTGCCATCTTGAATACAGTATTCACGGTAAAGAACTGGGCTCGATATTTTTACGTCCCCGGATTAATTGGCGTCCACACGATTCCGGATTCATAGCGTATTCAAAAATTTCCACTCTGGAGAGCGGATTCCAAAAATTGCGGATTCGTACGCTGGATTCGCCGAATACGTGTTGACAGAAACCGTATCAGGAAAGAAAAAGTTGCGGATTAAAAACTATCCGAATACGAGTAAATGGGACCTAACTATATGGTTTACGGTACCTGTGTTGCAGCAAGTGACGTAACTCCCGGGTGATTTTATCCAATCGGAAGTCATTATTCACTTGACCGTGGGTGCATGGTACAACACCCAGCACCGTTTTTAAAGTCGAAAAACCTGCACCAGCTACTTTACAGGTGTGCCGTAACAGAAATTAATAAATAAAATTAGCGATAAAATAGCAATAACAATTTCTTTTCGCATTATGCTAATTATGCGAGGCTCGAAGCTACATTCTTCGCATAATGTTATTTACAGTTAGTCCTGATAATGGCGTTAAGATGACGCCGAAACGTCGACTTTTTACGCTCTTATCAACTTTTTTCTGTTTGACCAAATCATTGTTTATCAGAATTTCTGTTTGTGTAATAATATAATTATTTTAAACTTCCCTTGAAGCACTTCTCATATAATAACCAGTTGTTACTTGATTACCTCCCAACTGAGCTGCTACTTACTCGAGTTGACCTCAAATTTTATGCTCACTCTGTGGCACCTGAGTTTTTTTCTTCTTTGCAGGATGAAATAATTACCAATGGAGTACACGAGAGATAAAAGATGAGGCCTTAGGGTACACCCAAATATAATTCCCATTGCAAAAGTTACATAAACAAGAGGAAGCAACTGCTCTTTTGTCCAGTGATAGATTACGTCATTTTCTTCTGTTGGGTCAGGTCTTGATTCCGGTGACGATGCATCACGAGGTGGCACTTTGAAGGAGGCCTTTGTTCTCCTTTTGATAGCAGAGTTGCAATGATGAACGTAAGTGGCAGTCTTTCTTTTAGCGTCTGGAATGGAATTTGCCTTTTTAAGGCCTGATATATTAGGATCGGTGTGTTCTTTGCTATCAAACAAATACACTTGCGTATCAGCATGAGGATCCAATGCAATTAATTCTTTACTCGGTATTTCGATCATGTTTTTCACAGCGTTTCTTGTTCCACTTTCATTGGCTGAAGGTTTGTCCTGTTCAGGTACTTTTTTTCTTTTTTTCAGTTTTTTGGAAATCCTCTTTTTCCTTATTGTCAAAGTTTCCTTTTCAGAATCATTTCGAAGTAAAGTAGCCAGACGGTACCTGGATAAACCTTGCTCGGTGTCATTCCCACAAATATAATCGTTCTCCATTAGTTTTTCCATCCCCAGTTCCTGTCTCGGTATTTCCTTCTGCACAGAAGTGAAGCCGTAGAGCTGGCCCTGGAAAAAGAAACTAGAGATCATCAATCATTAAACTAAAAAAGTGATGACGGTTACCTTAAGCCACCTATGGAAGAGGTTATCCGGGTTCGTTGCCCAAGTTCTCCACCAAAATATGTCGGGGTTGTTCGAGCAACTCGTTTGCTAAGCGAGAAGGCACCAATAGACTTCTTTTACATCTTTGTCTTCGCTTCTTTTGTTCTTCTTTAACTCCTGCCACCCTCTACTTACCCTACCACTAGCAAGCCGAATATTAGAGACTCAAGCCAAAATACTCTGCTTATCTTTAGTTTACGTAAAGGTGATGCAAGTATATATTTAAAAACGTTTGAATCCTGAAAATGGGCGGAAGCTTTGTAATGTGGTTTGGGAATATTTTGAATGAAAACAATCATCTGCATAATAATGCATAGTTCCTTTTCTACACCTGAGTCACAAAAAAGAATGCCGGAATCGGATAAGTTGCCTGTTGACTAAACTAAATCGCCTCCCCGGTTGTTTTGGTGTAACATGCATGTGCCAACCTGATCTGACAGCAGTGCGAGGCAAGAAAAAGGGCTAGTCTAGTCTGGTCGAGGGTTGCTTTCTAATAAATTTCACTGGGCCCCCTACACATAATTACATTTAACGCGATAATTGTCATGTCATAATTTACTTGCTCTTGTACGCGATTTGGGAGGCGTCGAGTTTGGAACTTCAGAACGAACAATAATCGCGTAATTGATCAATCGATGTCAATTTCGATTTATCCAAAATCATAGCTGTCCCCGATGCCAAAATAAAAATACCTAATTATGTTGTGGTTCAATTTGGTCCTTGGTCTAAATTTTATTTTCCTTATTATTTCAAGCTTATTATCATACATTACCAATCCCAAAACAAAGGAGAATAAAATTTATACCAAGTGATAAAATTGAACTGCAACACATATATATTGAAGGTCCAGAGACGAAAAATTCAAAGATTATTATAATACTAAAGCTGACCTTAGCGAAACATCATCACTAATAGATTGAACTTACAAGACACAATAATAATACGCCTAACAGAATGATCAATAGTTGCCATTGCGGAACTTGGTTCGTCATTTATCTCTCTTGACTGGTTCTTCCCATAGCTATCTGCAAGTGAACAGAAATTTTGATACAAGTAAGTTATTTCAGTAATTTCGCACTGTCAACTGCTTCGTGGATTTGAAGATAGCTTTGATAGGTAAAAACGACTTGTTGCTTTTTTGCGGAATATAGATGTATATTTCAGACCAGTGACATTTCACTGAAAAAATCCTGGCATCGCAATCCTCGATCCCTCACAAAACGGAGTAGAAAAAGTAGCTTTCGTCTTCATATGCTCGTTCTGGTTTATCCAGAAAATTTTAAAAAGTTCATTATTTTAAAAAATAAAATGAAGTTGAGAACACTTTTCCCTATTACTAGCAGAGGTCTCTCAGGGCGAGGAACACTTGAATCGCGAAAATTTAATGCGGCCCTTTTTTCCTATCGGAAATCGCGAAAAATAAATCCCCGAAATAATCGACAAGGTAAATGTAATTCACAGAGAAATGGACTATTTTACAAGTTCAGTTCAGCAAATAACAGTGGAAAAAAAACGGCGGCATAATTACAGCCCGTACCCGTAGCCGTAGATACGGGCAGACTGCTTCTTTACCATATTTCTAATTTGCTTTTGTCACTGGGTTTGTTTACATCAGTTGTATCAAAATGCTAATACTAGTGACCTTCCGGTCGATGAGACGTGTGTCAGTGACGTAATCTCGAGAGCGGATCGTTCAACTCGAAAATCAGGGAAAAGAAAGACTTAAATTGGCAAAGAAAAACAAAAAATTCGCCTTGTCTCATTTTTGTTCTCAGTTACTAAGGGTAAATTGAGGCTGCAGAATGCTGAAAATGTGATCGAATTATCCTTTTTGTTTTGCCAACGGCCGAGTAACACGCGGATGTATCAAGAATAGCAGCCAATGAAATCCTTCCACGATGTTCGATCATTTAACCGGCTTCAGCTGATGCGAAAAGAACAGAGCGTGAAACCACGATGTAATTAGAAACTGTTATTCTCTCCTTTGTAATAACAGCAGAAGGTAATTTTTTCTTCATGTACAAGTTTTTCTCGATCAGTATATCAGCACCTTTGTGAAAGATATTTTCTTGATCCTGCGTGATTGCCCTCCACCAAGTGCATAGGAAATATTAGTCCAACCTCATTGAAAATCTCTCCGTGGTCCCCCCGCCCCTCAGGCTGCATCAAAGCTCCAGCTAAACTTGCTTTACAAACTTAATTACACTGCCCTGCTCCTAAGAGTCAATTCCACATACCTTNGATGTATCAAGAATAGCAGCCAATGAAATCCTTCCACGATGTTCGATCATTTAACCGGCTTCAGCTGATGCGAAAAGAACAGAGCGTGAAACCACGATGTAATTAGAAACTGTTATTCTCTCCTTTGTAATAACAGCAGAAGGTAATTTTTTCTTCATGTACAAGTTTTTCTCGATCAGTATATCAGCACCTTTGTGAAAGATATTTTCTTGATCCTGCGTGATTGCCCTCCACCAAGTGCATAGGAAATATTAGTCCAACCTCATTGAAAATCTCTCCGTGGTCCCCCCGCCCCTCAGGCTGCATCAAAGCTCCAGCTAAACTTGCTTTACAAACTTAATTACACTGCCCTGCTCCTAAGAGTCAATTCCACATACCTTGGTCGTGGTCATCATAAGAATGCAAACTATACTGAATCCTGAATCCTCCACTTTCCTTGACGAGACAAAGCGTGTCAGTGGCGTTTACGGGTCAAACAAATCTAAGTAACAATGACATGAAAATTACCATGAGAAATGAATCGAATCGAATGTGAATCAGCACTTGTTTATAACTTACAAAAAAAAACACGGGCAATAAGTAAGTGCACCAGGTTTTTTTGACAACAAACACCGTGACACTTAAGTACCGACGAGCTATAACCATATCGAGGCCTTGATTGCATTAATTATTACGCATGGATATAGATGATTGGGGAATCCCCTCCCCACAGTAAAACGTGCTCCCTGCGTAATCGGTTACTCTCTCCCCAGTCCCCACCATCTGACCTCCGCGCTCTAACTCTTTATGTCTGAACCCTGCAACAAGCTGTTAATCGGTTCATTAGCGTAAACCAAACCGGGTGGCACTATGTACTGTTCGGAATTGACTTCCAAATTCCTAAAGGCTTTGTAACAAATTGATTGTCTGTTTCATTTTAGCCGTTTTTACATGCTGAGTGGAAGACTAGGCACTTGTCAGATTAACGCGGCATCACGTTTTGGGTCCTGCAAGATCACTTTAAAAAAAAGTCGTCTTTTTAAAAGCGGGTATTGCACAAAGAGCGTGCACGACAAGTTTTGGGTATTTCGTTGATTTCGAAACACCAGCATTTGTTTGCCTTCTTTGTGACAAGTTGTTTTTTCAATAACAATTAAAGCAAAACTATCTCAACGAATCTCGAGTCAAAACTCTTACAACTAAGTCACATGATATAATCACATGGTTTCATGACGTAGCGCGTAACGCAACCCCCTATGTCTGTAAAAAGCTGCCGTAAACGTCTGTTGTCCTCATTCTAGTTTCAGCACACGGAAATGACATCATGGTTGAAAGCACGTGGTCCCTCTGTCACGGCACTCACCCGTAACGCAATATTACGAAACGATGCCCGAATTAGCCTGCAGAGCAGGCGTTTTTCAAACGAAAACTCGGAGGTACATTGATCGTGGCCGCCATCTATCTGCCTCTCCCTTAAAAACACTTTTTGACTCGTCCCAACTCTCTGGTAGTATTAACGTCCAAGATGGCGGGACAACGTCATTCCTGAAAACAATTCATGGATCCCGCCCCAAAATACGCCTGCTTTGCAGGCTAGCCCGAATCAGTTATTAAAGTTTTTGCGCAAAAAAACCCCACTCATCTCTGGGAACTTAGAATCATACTTTTTTCACTTATTATACATTAAGAGGTTCTGATTTCGAGATTCAAGCTCTGCGTTATTTAGAAGTCCCGCAACGTTCGACGTAAAATGCGATCGTTTTCAATTCCGGTCAGGGTTATATCTGTAGCTATTTTTAGTGCATACGATTATCCAATCGAAAATGGGCAAAAAAAAATTGATTGATTTTTACCAATCAGCGATAAGAATAAAATCCCTTCCTAAAGGCTGCGTTTCGTCATCTGCTAAAAATAACAAGGCGCGTTGAGAGCATAAATTAATGGCTCACTAGAAAGTGTTTCTCAATTGAAAAGTCCTTGGTTTGACGTACACCATCCATCAACAGTTAGATCTCCTATCGTAGTTACGTCTCGTGCGGAAAGCCCTCTTGCCTTTATAGGTATGTTGATATCGCGTCTACTTACATATACAATAACTAAACTGTTCGTAAAATATAAATGTCGGAACGTAGATTGGGCGAAAATAGCTGTTAGACCATTTACAGGGAAGCACGACAATTTTGACGGTTGACGGTTAAATTTTGGGTTAAATTTTAGCCCAAGATTTTAAGTTTAAGTAAATGTTAACTTCTGTATAAATTAATATTAACTGTTCTGTTTTGGGGGTTGTATTGGCGCCTTTCACTTGGGTTAAAATTTCAAAATATTTTCGGATATAAGCAAGTTATAAGGTCTTGTAATGTCCAGAGAGAGCTTTTTGCAGAATGTGGGAACCGGTTTTTCCAGATTAGAGATTCTTCAGGAGCCAGAATTCAGTCCGTGAAGATCAGCTGAAATAGTGAGATTTGAAATACCTTGTCATGAAACTTTTTTATGCGGTTAACATTAATCTGCATTTTTCAAGGTTGAAGGTAGCCTGAATTTCATCCGATTACTTCGAGTCGTTATTACTCCCTCAGTAAGAGGAGAAAACGACTCGAAGCAATCGGATGAATTTCAGGCTAGGTTGAAGGGAAAAACTCACCTTTTTCGACGGCTGACGGTTTAGCCCATTGAGACCTTCAAGCACGCCTCACGGAAGGTATCAAGAGTCTGAACCTCACAGTTCTTTTCTTCTTTTTTCTCTGCGTATTCTAATGAACCAACCACTTCTGCTACAAGTTCTACTACCTTCTACTAACCGGGGATCACTTCCTTCTCTTTTTCTCTCTCTCCTTCTTTCTAATGTAATAGTTCTAGTACTTACTTTTATTCAATGAATAAACAGCCCAAAGCAGAGAATTACTAATAAGATCTTGTGCCTTTTTCTTCCGCATATTGAGAAGCAGTAGCCTTCATGTCGAAAATCAGGAAGAAGTTAGTCATCGTCGGCGATGGTGCATGTGGAAAGACTAGCCTTCTGTTTGTGTTTTCTCAAGACGAATTCCCCGGATTTTACACTCCAACCGTTTTCGAGAATTATGTCTCTGACATTGAAGTCAACGGGAAGATGGTGGAGCTTGCCTTATGGGATACAGCCGGACAAGAGGCATATGACAGACTGCGACCACTGTCTTATCCCGACTCTGATGTTATCCTGATGTGCTTTTCCATTGATAGTCCTGATAGTTTGGAGAACATCCCGGAAAAATGGTCTCCTGAGGTAAGACATTTCTGCGGCCATACGGTACCAGTCATTTTAGTTGGTAACAAGAAAGATTTGAGACACGACAAAAGTGTGAAGAACGAGTTATCGAAGTTGAAGCAAGCGCCGGTGTCAAGCGAAGAGGGGCGTGTGATGTCTGAAAGGATCAAAGCTTATTCTTACATGGAATGTTCTGCTAAAACTAGAGAGGGAGTCAGAGACGTCTTTGAAACGGCCGCGAAGGCTTCCCTGAAAAGAACGCCACGCAGGCCTCAATCATGGCGTAAATGTAGTATATTATAACTATAAAGACTTAAAAAACTGATGTATTTAAAACGGCAGCGAAGGTTGCAGTGAAAAAAAGAAAATGTACAGAAGAAACTGCAGCATAATATAGGAGAATAACATTTAAAGGTATATTATAGAACTTTGTCATAACTGAATGACCAATTATTACATAGAAATATATAAATAGCAACATCTATATCCTCCCTGAGTTTTCGGGCTCAAGCTTTGTAGTGTAATTAGTACAGCGCAGAAACGTTCTGCATGTAATTGGCCATTGTTTTTGTCACCTTTATTATTAGTTAAAAAAACTCCTAGTGTGGTAGTTTTATATGGTTTCAATAAGAATAAGAAAAGCATTCGGAAGAACTAATTATTTTCTTTTTTACTTTGACTGTTTTTACATCTGATGATGTAATTAACGAAAAATAATGCTTAAATTCCAGGTAATTTGATATAAATAATAGATAATATAATAGATAATATATCCTCCCCCCGCCTCAACTCTCCCTCCCCTAACAAAAAAAGAAAAAAAAACGAACGATAACATATCGTTCGGTTTTTTTTGGAAGTGTCTCATGACCAAACTTAAAGTTAATCAAAAGGATTCAAAATTGTTATCTTTTGATACGCTTTGGCCGACCACGTAAGATTTGTTCGCCTTGAAGAGAGAAATTAAAGGTTTTCAACAAGAACTGCTTGTATGAGATGTTTTATAAAACTGCACATAATCGTGAATGTGATGAATCAGGAGCCCATAATATGATTAAATGGTGATGATATTAAAGGAAATTACTTCAAATAAACGAGGTACTAAATCAGTGATAATAACAATATGTAGTTCTAGAAAATATTCATACCCCACCCCCCTTCCCTCCCCAAGGAAGGCAACGTAAATTCAGGGCAGGAGAGGGATGCAAAAGGTGACGATTTCCGAGGGGTGACGCCAGGTGCATGCCCCTCAGACATGGCTGCCGGAAATCAACAGAAACATCTATTACCGAGTTTTGCTGCAAAAGCATGAATTCATCCCTCGAGGGGAACTCATAAACTTTTCCTAAAACAAGGACAGTTCAGAATCTGTTCCAAATCCCCCAACAGCTCTCTTGGTCACCACGTACATGCCGTGTCACACTCCAGGTTTGAAATTCAAGCGTACTCTATCATATCACAAAACGAAGAACCCTTTCGAAGTGAAAATTTGAAAAAAAATTAAGTTTTTAGCTGCTCTAATACTTCATGAAACTAAAAACTCAGGAGGATCGATAATTCTTAGTGTTGAATTTTGGTGACATCATGTGAAAACCGAGAACATGCCCCCTACGGCCCGGTAGATGCCTTAATCTGAGCCATTTCCTGGTTCCATGAAACTCTCACTTTCAAAACGAGGCTAAGGGCGAAACCTTTCTTTATTTGCATGAGAATAAAAAATCATTTTCACATCAAAATTGTAACTTAGGGGTTAGTCTTTTTGGGCCGACCCTTTGACTTATGAGTGGTGATTTGGTTTGGGTAAGAATTTCTTTTTCCCAAAACTCTGGTGATAGAATTTTTTCCTAACATACAAGGGTGCAAGATTTTTTTTTAGTGTTAAGGATTTTTTTCGCCAGTATTTTCAGTCTGCAGAATATTTTATTCTGAAGTAAGTCACACCCGCCTCAAATGCCAAATGGTCGGCCCTTTATTAGCCTGCGAACAGCAGACCCATTTCCGGTCGTCGCTTCTCTCCCTCCGAAAAATAGCGGAGGGAGAGAAGCGAAGACCGGAAATGCGTCTGCTGTTCGCAGGCTAGCCCTTTATCAACCTGTTGCTTTTTTGAAGTTCTCCTTACCGTCGCCATGTTGCTAAAATACCCCTTCCTGATCCCCCTTGTCGAACGCATTCCCCGAATTAGCAATTATTACTAGGAGTAATCGGAGCTTAGGAGAGTGCGTTCGACATGTTTGTTAGCTTTTTTA